CGGAGGCTGGAGAGCAGCAAGCAGGAGCGTGAGAATGAGGAAGGCAAGTGGGAAAATGGGGGTTTTCCAGGTGGGATCTGGAGGTGGGAGCTTGGAAAGGAGGAGGAATGGGGGGAGCAAAGGGAATTGAATAGGGAAGAGGGAGAGCTGAGCGCATTGGAGAGCATCTGCAGTGTACCAAGGGGAGGGAGGGGAGCTGGAGAAGTGGGAAGCAGGGGGTGGAATGGGAGTGGAGTGTGGTGTGGGGAGGGGGAGAGGGAGAGGGAAAGGGAAAGGGAAAGGGAAAAGGGGAGAGCAGGAGGAAGAGAGAAAGGGGAAAGGGAAAAGGGAGAAGAGAGGGAAAGGGAAAGGAAGACAGAAAGGGAAAAGAGGAAGAGGGAAGGGGAGAGGAAGAGGGAAAGGGAAAAGGAAAGGAAGAGAGAAAGGGAAAGGAAGAGAGAAAGGGAAAAGGAGAGGGAGAGGGAAAGGGGAAAGGGAGGGAAAGGGAAAAGGGAGAGGAGAGGGAAAGGGAAAGGAAGACAGGGAAAAGAGGGAAAAGGAGAGGAAGAGGGAAAGGGAGAGGGAAAAGGAAAAGGAAAGGGAAAGGGAAAGGAAGAAGGAGAGGGAAAGGGAAAAGAAGAGGGAAAGGGAGAGGGAAAAGGAAAAGGAAAGGGAAAGGGAGAGGAACGGGAAGGGAGAAGGAAAGGGAAAGAGGAGAGGGAAAGGGAAAAGAAGAGGGAAAGGGAGAGGAACAGGGAAAGGGAGAGGGAAAAGGAAAACGAAAGGGAGGGAAAGGGAAAGGAAGAGAGAAAGGGAAAGGGAAAAGGAAAGGGAAAGGGAGAGGGAAAAGGAAAACGAAAGGGAGGGAAAGGGAAAGGAAGAGAGAAAGGGAAAGGGAAAAGGAAAGGGAAAGGGAGAGGGAAAGGGAAAAGAAGAGGGAAAGGGAGAGGAACAGGGGAAGGGAAAAGGAGAGGGAAAGGGGAAGGCAGAGGGGAAGGCAGAGGGATGTGCTCGGCATCCCAGTGGCAGGAGCAGGGATTGCCGAGGCTGCCACGCACCAAAACACGGGAAAGCGGTTGGGAAACCGGGATTTGGGATCAGGGAGAGGGGCTTCCCATGTGCTTCCCATCTGTCCCCCTTCACCTCCTCCTCCTCCTCCCAGCAGGCGATCCCGGGAACTGGTATTCCAGCGACGAGGACGAGGGTGGCAGCAGCGTCACCTCCATCCTCAAATCCCTCCGGCAGCAGAGCTCCGGGAACGCCGCCCGCCCGCACAAAGGCCAGGCCGGGAGCAGCTCCCGCCCGGCCGATCCCCGCCTCCGGGATCCCCGTTTATCCCGGAATTCCGATGCCAGCGGAGAACCGGGCCCCTCGGACCCCCGCCTCGCCCGCCACGTTCCCAAAGCGGAGCAGAAACCCCCTCTGCTTCCCGATGATGAGGAAGGGGAGCGGGCTCTCCGGGATAAACCCATCAGTATCCCATTGGATGCTCTTCCCGGCCATTCCCTACGGGATCCGCGCTCCCAGCTCCAGCAGTTCAGCCACATCAAGAAGGACGTGGTCCTCAACAAGCCCAACTTCGCCCGCATGATCCTATGGAGCCCTGAGGATCTCATCCCGCTCCCTATCCCAAAGCAGGAATTCATCCCCATCCCGGCCGCCCTCCAAGCCATGCCCAGCCTGGATCCGCGCCTCAACAGATCCCAATCGGATCCCAGGCAACGAGCGGGAAGCGCGCCGGGAGACGCCAATCCCTCGGGATCGGGATCGGGATCGGGGCTCCCGGATTTCGAGCTCCTTTCCCGGATCCTAAAGACGGTGTCGGCGGGGGGGAGCCCCCAAAGCGACAAACCCAGCGACCCCCGCGTGCGCAAAGCTCCCGCTGATCCCAGGCTCCAGAAATCCATGGATCCATCCCCATCCCGAGCTTCCAAACCTACGGATCCCGCTCCGGGAGGGGAAACGGCTCCAGCCATTGCTCCCTATGACCCCCGGCTCCTGACTGGCACCGGGCAGAGCAGCGTCCTCAGCGCCATCAGCCTCTATGATCCCAGAACTCCCAACTCGGGTGGCAAAGCCTCCGAGCCCATTCCCGAGGGATCTTCCAAGGCTTCGGAATGTGGGAAACCCCCCCCTAAACCCAAGGAACCCCTTTTTGTCCGACGTTCCGCTCTGGAACAACCCGACACCGACAAAGGAAGCGGCGAATCCGCTACGGACAGGTACAACAGCTACAACCGCCCTCGTCCCAAAGCCACCGGGAATACCGCGGATCCCAGTGCTCCCCATCCCGGTATCCATAACCTCCCAGTCCCCCCTGTCTATGGGATGGTGAAACAGAGCTCCAAATCCGGAGCCGGCAGCCCCTTTGCTGGGAATAGCCCGGCCCAGGACAGCGAGCAGCAGGATGCTGCATCCCTCAAGGATGTCTTCAAGGGCTTTGATCCCACAGCGTCGCCTTTTTGCCAGTAGGATTCCCAGTGATTCCCAACCATTCCCGGCACCGCTCCTGGGATTTGGGGTGTTCTTTTGGTTCTTTGCCATTTATTTTAAGCCCATTAGCGCTCACTTTAGCCGTAGATCCTGTATATAACCCCCTCCCGTCCATTCCCAATGGAATTCCCATTGGAATTCCCGATTTTCCCCCTTCCCAAAACCATGTTTTCCATGAGAAATCAGCGTTTTCCTCTGATACAAAGCGGCGTTTCCATCGTTTTCCTGCTTTTCCCAACCCAATCCCTGATCAAAGTCATCCCAGGGTGGGGGGGGGAATCGGGAATGTTCCATTGGGCACCTCCACCTTCCCAAAGCCACGTTTCAGCCCCAAATCCCACCATTCCCACCTTTTTTCTATGGGCCATGAGCAAAAACCTCCCTAAAAAAGGTGGGAATCGGGCTTTGCGTCCATCGCTTCCCGCTTGCATCCGGTTTTCCTGGGTGTTTTGGGGTTTTTTTTAGCGGAATTCCATGATTTTTACACTTTGGGATTCTCGGGATCTTTCCAACACCCCCCCCCCCCCCCAAACCGAGCCAAAAAGCAGGAAAAAAAGAGAAGGAAAAGTTTCTATTCTTGACATTAAATTATTCCGCTCCCATTCCTTCGCTCCTGCGGGATTTGCAGCTGGAAAAGGGGGATTTAGGGGCCCAAAAAGAGGCCGGAGATGGAATTTGGGTCTAAAGTGGTGTTTTCCCTATGGATCCCCGGACCAGGAGGGTTTGGGGTTTGGGGTTTGGGGGGGGGGGTGGTTTGGGGGTGTTCCATTGTAATAAAGGTGTAAATACCAGTGGGAGTCGAGGCTGGAAAACTGGGAATGGCGCCCGGAGAATGGGTGCCTATAGGGGTGGATGGGGTGTATATAGGGGTGTATATGGGGTATATAGGGGTGTGTGTATATAGGGTGTATATAGGGGTGTATATGGGGTGCGTGTAGGGGTGGATGGGGTGCGTATAGGGCTGTATATGGGGTGTGCATAGGGCTGTATATGGGGTGTGTATAGGGGTGTATATGGGGTGTGTATAGGGGTGAATGGGGTGTGTATAGGGGTGTATATGGGGTGTGTATAGGGGTGTATATGGGGTGCGTATAGGGGTGAATGGGGTGTGTATAGGGGTGTATATGGGGTGTGTATAGGGGTGTATATGGGGTGTGTATAGGGGTGTATATGGGGTGCATACAGGGGTGTATATGGGGTGTGCATAGGGGTGTATATGGGGTGTGTATAGGGGTGTATATGGGGTGCATATAGGGGTGGATGGGGTGTATATAGGGGTTATAGGGGTGTGTATAGGGTGATGGGGTGTGTATAGGGGTGGGTGATGGGGTGCATATAGGGGTGTATGGGGTGTGTATAGGGGTGGATGGGGTGCATATAGGGGTGGATGGGGTGCATATAGGGGTGTGGGGTGATATAGGGGTGAATGGGGTGTATATAGGGGTGAATGGGGTGCATATAGGGGTGTATATGGGGTGTGTATAGGGGCATATGGGGTGCATATATGGGTGGATAGGGTTCATATGGGGGGGTGTGGATGCATTTGGGGGACTTGGCGTGCACATAGGGATGTATGGGGTGCATAGGGGGGTTTGGGGGGTGCATATGGGGGGGTTGGGGTGAATATGGGGGTTTTGGGGTGTGTATATGGTGCATATGGGAGGGTTTGGGGTACATATAGGGGTATATGAGGGGGTTGGGGTTGCATATGGGGGGATTTGGGGTGCATATAGGGGTGTATGGGGTGCATATATGGATGTATGGGGTGCATATATGTATGTATGGAGTCCACATGAGGGTGTATGGGGGGGGGTTTGGGGTGCATATGCAATCCCCCCCCCCAGAGCTGGCTTGGGGGACACCCCCCCCATTGCATTCAGCCGCGGGGGTGGCAGTTTTGGGGTGCCCCCCCCCCCAATTTCACCCCATAGAAGTGAGTTGGGAAGAAGCGGGGCCCCCCCGGGAATGGAATGGAACCGGCGGCGGGGGGGCACTTCCTGCCAGATGTTCCTGACATCTGGATTCTTCCATCAACAGCTGGCGGGGGGGGGGAAGCTCATGACGCAAATGGGGGGGCCTTGGGGACAAAGGGGGGGGCATATTTTGGGGGTGTCCCAAGTTATTTGGAGCATCCCAAGCTTATCGGGGGGGCCCCACATTTTGGGGGTGCCCTTTTTTTTGGGGGGAGGTCCCATTTTGGGGGGATCCCATTTTTTGGGGGGGGCCCATATATTGGGAGGGTCCCATTTTTTGGGGGGGGGCCCATATATTGGGAGGGTCCCATTTTGGGGGGGGGAGAGTGTCCCATTTTGGGGGGGTAACCATATTTTGGGGGTGTCCCCCATAATTATGGGGGGGTCCCCATTTTGGGGGGTCCCCATTTTGGGGTGGGTGCCCAATCACACCCCACCCATGCGGCACAATAAGGGTTTATTGGGGGGGGGGGATGGTTAAATACAAGCCCAGGGGGTGCTGGGTGCTGGGGGGGGGGAGTGGGGGGGTGGTCCCCTTTTGTGGCCCCCCCTCGGTTATGGGGGGTCCTCGGGGCTGGGTCTTTGCAGGAGCTGCTGCTTCGGGAGCCCCTTGAGCTGCACCAGGAGCTGTTGGATGAAGTCCTTTGGGGGGGGTAATGGATTAATTAGCCCCTCCCCATTTATTAACATCCCCCTTTAATTACCCCCCCCCCCCGGAAAAGGAAGTGCCCCCCCCCCCCCCAAAGGGCACAACCCTCAATGAATGTTTTTGCCTTTTAAAGCCCTGTTTGGAGCCACAACAGCCAAAAGGGAGATACCAAAAGTGGGGGGGTTCATAAGGGGGGGGGTTCATAAGGGGGGGGTCCAATGTATGTGCCCCCCCCCCCCGCCCTATAAAACACCCCCCCCTCCCCATAGGTGCGTACCTGAGGATCGGCGCTGCAGGACTTGAGGATGAGCTGGATGCAGGGATGGATGCAGGGATGGATGCAGGGATGGATGCAACCATTGATGAAGGGGGGGGGTTACGCGTGTGTCCCCCCCCCCCAAACACGCGTGGCCCCCCCCCTCAATCTAACCCCCCCCCCCCCAACCTGCAGCTTTTGGGCTCGCTCCTCATCCGTCTCCAGCTCCAGGAGCTCGTCGATGTTCACCTCATCCGGTATCTCCTGCTCCTGCCGTGGACATGGGGGGGCTCCGGTGTCCCCAGTGGTGCCCCCTATCCCTGGCACCCCCCTGTTTCCACCCGTCTCCCCCCGTTCCCTGCCATGGTCTGGTCCAACCGGTCCCCATCCCGAGCATCCTTCTCCAGCCGGGATCTGGTGCTGAGCATCCCGGTCCTGGTCCCGTTGTAACCCCCGGGTCCCATTCCCGTTCCCATCCCTGTTCCCGTTCCCGTTCCCGTTCCCATCCCGCTCCCGTTATCTCTGGGTCCCATTTTCACCCCCGGTCCCTCTCCCACTCCCTTTCTCGCTCCCATCCCTGTTCCCGTTCCCGTTCCCACCCCGCTCCCGTTATCTCTCCCTGCCCCGTTATCACTCCCACCCCTGGTTCCGGTCCCGTTGTTGCTCCCGGTCCCGATCCCGCTCCCGTTCTCTCTCCCCGTCCTGTTCCCGTTCTCTTTCCCGGTCCCATTCCTGCCCCCGCTCCCGTTCTGTCTCCCATCACGGTTCCCGTTCCCCTTCTCTCTCCCGATCCCGTTCTCACTCCCACCCCTGTTCCCGGTCCCGTTCTCTCTCCCGGTCCCGATCCCGTTCTCGCTCCGTTCCCGTTCTCTCCCCGCTCTCGGTCCCGTTCCCGTTCTCTTCCCACTCCGCTCCCGTTATCTCCCCACTCCATTCCCATTCTCTCCCCGCTCCATTCCCGTTCTCTCCCCGCTCCATTCCCGTTCTCTCCCCCTCCATTCCCGTTCTCCCCCCTCCATTCCCGTTCTCTCTCCCCCGCTCCATTCCCGTTCTCCAACCCCCTCAATTCCCGTTCTCTCCCCCCTCCATTCCCGTTCTCTCTCTCCCGTTCCCGTTCTCTCTCCCCCCTCCATTCCCGTTCTACCCCCTCCATTCCCGTTCTCCCCCCCCCCATTCCCGTTATCCCCCCCGTCCATTCCCGTTCTCTCTCTCCCGTTCCCGTTCTCTCCCCGCTCCATTCCCGTTCTCCCCCCGCTCCATTCCCGTTCTCTTTCTCCCGTTCCCGTTCTCTCTCCAACCTCCATTCCCGTTCTCCCCCCGCTCCGCTCCCGTTCTCCCCCCGTGCCCGTGCCCGTACCCGTCCCCGGTACAGCTCCTGGAGCCCGCTGTCGATCCAGCTCTCGGTATCGAGCCTCCGCTGCAGCTCCCTCCGGTTGTATTTGACCGTGGCCCGGGCCGGGCGCCGCTGCAGCGCGGGGCTGCGGGCGGAGGGCGGGGGGCGCCCAGGGGAACCCCCCCCACCCCCACCCAGGGAACCCCCCCCCGGGGAGCCCCCGCCCCGGCCCTGCCGCCGCCCCACGCGGTGCGCGGCCATCGCTCGGCGCAGGGAATGGGGCGGGGACTAAAGGGGGCGGGGTCTAAAAGGGGGCGGGGACTAAAGGGGGCGGGGACAAAGGGAGACCCCTATAGAGACCACTAGCACCCATAGAGCCCTATAGCGCCCATAGAGGTATATAGTGCCCGTGGAGATCTGTAGTGCCTATGAAGCCCTATAGCACCCGTGGAGCCCTATAGTGGCCATAGAGCCCTATAGAGACCATAGAGACATATAGAGCCCATAGCGCCCTATAGCGCCCATAGAGGCATATAGTGCCCATAGAGACCTGTAGCACCCATGAAGCCCTATAGCACCCATGGAGCTCTATAGCACCCATGGAGCCCTATAGCAATCAAGGAGGCCTATAGTGCCCATAGAGACCTATAGCACCCATAGAGCCCTACAGCACCAGTAGAGACCTATAGCACCCATACAGCCCTAGAGCACCCATACAGTCCTAGAGTGCTCACGGAGACATTTAGTGCCCAGGGCACCCTATAGCACCCATAGAGACCTATAGCACCCATGGAGCCCTATAGCGGCCATAGAGACCTGCAGCACCCATGGAGACCTATAGCACACATAGTGCCCCACAGTGCCCACAGCTCTCCTAATTCTATATTCTCCCTAGTCCCTATAGCACCCTCTAGTCCCCATAGAGCCCTATAATGCCTATAGTACCTTATAGATCCCATAGAGCCCTATAGCACCCAAAGGTCTTCTAACTCTATAGGCCCCCTAGTCCCTATAGCGCCCCGTAGCTCCCTATGGCTCCTATGGCACCCTATAGCTGCTGGGGGACCCTATATCCCCATAGTGCCCTATAGCGCTTACAGCTCCCCTAAACCCATATCCTTTTATAGCTCCTATATTCCCCACTGCCCCTATATCCCCTATAGCGCCCTATAGGCTTCATAGGGTCTGTTGCTCCCATAGCACCCAGTATCCCCCATAGACCCCTATATTCCCCGTAGACCCCTATATTCCCTATAGGCTCCATAGGGTCTATAGCTCCCATAGTGCCCAGTAACCCCATAGACCCCTATATTCCCCATAGACCCCTATATTCCCTATAGGCTCCATAGGGTATATAGCTCCCATAGTGCCCAGTAACCCCCATAGACCCCTATATTCCCCATAGACCCCTATATTCCCTATAGGCTCCATAGGGTCTATAGCTCCCATAGTGCCCAGTAGCCCCATAGACCCCTATATTCCCTATATTCCCTATAGCTCCCATACCGCCACCTCCCCACCAGCGACGCTGCAGCGCTGTTTCGCGAGCCGCATGCAAATGAAGGGGCGGGGAGGGGCCATCTGGGCGTGGTTTCGACGTGGGCGTGGCCTCGCCCTCAACTGTGACGGCACTGCTGGGCAGGGGGCGTGGCTTAGCCGCGGTGGGGGACGGGACGAGACGGCGCACCTGAGAGACGTCACAGCAATGGCGGCGCTCGGGAGGCTGTTACCGCTGCTGCTGCTCCTCCCCGCGGCCTCCGCCGAGCCCCGGCCTGGGCCCAGCGGCCTCCCCGTGCCCGGTAATGGCGTTAACGGGGTCGTTAACGGGGTTCCTGTCGTTATCGGGGTCGTTATTGGGGCCGTTAACGGGGTTCCCGTCGTTATCGGGGCCGTTAACGGGGTTCCTGTCGTTATCGGGGCCGTTAACGGGGTTCCTGTCGTTATCGGGGTCGTTAACGGGGTTCCGGTCGTTATCGGGGTCGTTAACGGGGTTCCTGTCGTTATCGGGGCCGTTAACGGGGTTCCCGTCGTTATCGGGGCCGTTAACGGGGTTCTTGTCGTTATCGGGGCCGTTAACGGGGTTCTTGTCGTTATCGGGGCCGTTAACGGGGTTCTTGTCGTTATCGGGGCCGTTAACGGGGTTCCCGTTGTTATCGGGGTTATTGTCATCATTGACCCAATTATTTGGGTTATTAATGGGTTTATTCTCATTATTTGGCCCATTATTGGGGTTATTCTCAGTATTGGGGTTATTAATGGGGTTATTCTCAATATTGGGTCCATTATTTGGTTATTAATGGGTTTATTCTCATTATTTGGCCCATTATTGGGGTTATTCTCAGTATTGGGGTTATTAATGGGGTTATTCTCAATATTGGGTACATTATTTGGTTATTAATGGGTTTATTCTCATTATTTGGCCCATTATTGGGGTTATTCTCATTACTGGGTTTATTATTGGGTTTATTCTCACTATTTGGTCCATTTTTGGGTCCGTACTCATTATTGTTCATTATTCATTTTATTAATGAGTTTCTTCCCATTTTGTGGCCCATTCTTGGCTTTATTCCCATTATGTCCTTCATTTTTGGCTTTATTCCCATAATTTGGTCCATTTGTGGTTTTATTCCCATTATTTCCTTCATGTTTGCCTTTATTCCCATTATTTCCTTCATATTTGCCTTTATTCCCATTATTTCCTTCATTTTTGGCTTTATTCCCATTATTTCCTTCATATTTGCCTTTATTATCATTATTTCCTTCATATTTGCCTTTATTCCCATTATTCCTTTCATTCTTGCCTTTATTCCCATTATTTCCTTGATTTTTTGCTTTATTCTCCTTCTTGGGTCCAATTTTTTGGGTCCATTCTTGAATTTATCCCCATTATTCCCTTCATTCTTGCCTTTCTTCCCATTCGCAGCTCCATCATCACCATTCTTTGCTTCATTACCCCATCATTAGCCCATCCCTTGGGTCCCATCCCCATCCCCATCCCATCCCCATCCCATCCCCATCCCCATCCCCATCCCATCCCCATCCCATCCCCATCCCCCACCCCCATCCCCATCCCATCCCCATCCCATCCCCACCCCATCCCCATCCCCACCCCATCCCCACCATGAACCCTCTCCCCCCAGGTCCCTGCTGGCTGCCCAAGGCCGTGGGCCGGTGCCGCGCCGCGGTGCCGCGCTTCTGGTTCAACAGCACCAGCGGCTCCTGCCAGGCCTTCACCTACGGCGGCTGCGACGGCAACGCCAACAACTTCGCCACGGAGCGGGAATGCCGGGAGAGCTGCGGTGAATCCATAGGGAACGGGGTTGGGAAGGCGCTGGGATCGTTCCCACTCGATCCCATAGGCAAACAGCCCCAAAACGGGGCCAAATCCTGCTTTGGGGTTGGGTGTGTGGTTGCAAACCCTATTTAATAACCCTTTAAAATGGGATATTTGGGGTCTTTTGGAGCAGTTGGGGGTCACCCCCCCCCCACCCCATAAAATGAGGATTTTCATGGTTTGGCCTCAAAACTGCTCCGAAAGAAGCTCAAAATGGGGCATTTGAGGTGCTTTTGGATGCTGAACACCTCCAAAATCCCCCCCAAATCGGCTCATTTTGGGGGGGGTGTGTGTAGCTTTTAGCCACTAGATCTCATTCATTCCTCATTTTGGCCTCTTCCCCCCCAAAACGAGCCATTTCTGCCCTTTTTGACCCCAAATAATGCTCTTTTGGTGCTGTTTCCACCCCAGCTCCACTCCGCTCCTTGCCTGGGCCCAGCACTGCCTCCAGCTATGCCGGTAACTGCTTGCCCCCTCCGCCCCATGTGCCCTATGTGTGCCCTATACATGTGCCCTATACATGCCTTATATGTTCCCTCTATATGCCCTTTATGTTCCCTATATACATGCCCTATATGTGCCATACATATTCCCTTTATATGCCCCGTATGTTCCCTATATATGCCCCACATATGTACTTCTATACGTGCCTTATCACAGTATCACAGTATCACAGTAGGTTAGAGATTGGAAGGGACCTCAAAAGATCATCTAGTCCAATCCCCCTGCCGGAGCAGGAACACCTAGATAAGGTTACACAGGAACGTGTCCAGGCGGGTCTTGAATGTCTCCAAAGAAGGAGATTCCACAACCTCCCTGGGCAGCCTGTTCCCTACATTTCTCTATCCATGCCGTATATGTTCCCTATATACATTTCTCTATACATGCCCTATATGTTCCCTATATACATTCTTTATATACGTTCCCTATACGTGCCTTATACATGCCCTATGTACGTCCCCTGTATGTTCCCTATACATGTTCCCTATACGTTCCCTATGTACATTCCTTATGTACATGCCCTATACACGTTCCCTATATGTTCCCTATATACACTCCCTATGCATTCCCTATATACATGCCCTATATATGTTCCCTGTATACGTTCCCTATACACAATCCCTATATGTTCCCTATATATGTTCCCTATATGTTCCCTATATACATGCCCTATACACATACCCTATATACGCTTCCTATGCATTCTCCTATATACGTTCCCTGTATACACTCCCTATATACACTCCCTATATACATACCCTATATACGTTCCCCACACTGATGCCCTCTCTTTACCCCTCCCCCCATAGAGCACTGCCTGGCTCCCGCGCAGACCGGGCCGTGCCGCGCCGCTTTCCCGCGCTGGTTTTACAGCCCGCGCGACGGCGCGTGCCGCCGCTTCATTTACGGCGGTTGCCAGGGCAACCGCAACAACTACGGCAGCCGGGAGGAGTGCTGGAAGCGCTGCGGCCGCGGTGAGCGCCCC